TAATTAAAAACAGTCTTTAAAATTCACTCTAAATTACAGTGTTGCAAGTCTTAATCCAATTCCAAACTTTCTGCTGTCTGAATACTTGAATACAGTACTCTCATTTGTGCCAAACTTCTCCCTAAGTGACACTTACATCTACAACAACTTTAAATAAGTGCATATAATTTTCTAAGTTTAATTTCTGTAGGTAGTAGTATGATACGAGCACCAAGAAACTAGAAGCAGGAAACTTCAAAGACAGAAAGGGCCAGAGGAATAGATAGTTGTTTTTTCTTTAGTTATATCTATCGTAGTAAATTAAACTAAAATCTGAAGGTTAGTCTCTGGACTGAGGCCAACTGGCAATTCTGAGGTCATGTCTATAAAAATTTTAATGGTAAAATAGTTTGGTAAGGTGAGTTTGAAATGATTTCTGAATTGCAGTAACCAGTGAACTTCATAAATTTCAAAATTGAGGATAATATCTAACTTCCATAGTAAGTGTAACAGAAACAGTGATGACTTTGTAAAAATACAGATGATTCCATCAGAATCAGAGTTTGAACTTAAGTTGTGGACTTAAGTGTAGCAGTGCAAGCGTAACTTCTGTGAAAAGAATAGGGGGTACTATCTTTATTTACTTCTTAGGATATGAAATAAAGTTCATTTCCTCCCTCCCTTGTATTATTCGAGAAGTTTGCATCATTAGCTTCATTGTTCTTATTTGTTTAGTTATATCACAGTTAAATCTAAGACCAGACCAAAAAGTTAATTCTAAGACCAGACCAAGAAATTAGCTTCAGGCCCAGGAAGTATGATATCAGAGAAATGAGAAAAAGCATGTTGTTGACTAATTAGTCCATCTGCAACATGGAAGTGTGTGTTTCCTGGTGTCTCAGTAGGGAAAAGTCAGCACCCACAGTCTAAAATTATGCATTTTACTGCAGAATGAAAATGCAATGACTGTGAGTGAACTGGTATATATCCTATCTAGATAAATGTACTGCTGGTAATAAGAGATTCTGTCCTATTCTATAAATGTTATTAGTATGGAATTGCTGAGGTTTATTTTTTGCTGAAGGAAGTTGTCTTAGAATCGTAGAATTTTAGGTTATTTTGAGCCAAAAGGGACTTCAGGAGGTCTTTGGCCCAACCTCCTGCTCAAAGTAGGGCCAGCCAAGGTCAGAACAGGTTGCTCAGTGCTTTATTCATCAGATTTTGAAAACCTCCAACACTGAAACCTGCAGAACTTTCTGAATAGAGAGGTCCAGATGTTCCATTTCTAAAGTTGCCTCAAACACCCTTGAAAAGCCATAAGATTTCAAAACCAGTGCTAGGTCAAAATTGATCCAACCTTTTAAATGTGCATTGAGAAAAAGTTTCTCTTAAGTTGGCTTAATGTTTTATCATAATTTTGCAAAATAAGTATTCTACTGCAAGGAAGAGTTTGAGTATTATCATAAAAAATGTAAAACATACAGATACTGAGTGAAAAACAAGTTGTGTTTTATTAAGCTAAGAAATCTGTAAATAATAACTAAATATAATGAAAGTGAAATATACTCTTAGCTTTAATTAAATAATTGTCTTCAATACAGATGGGGAAAGTAGGGATTATTGTTTTATAATATATGATAAAACTTCTTTACTTCTGGTGGTTCACAACTCATCTTTGGTATAGATGTTTTAAATATATTGTTACTTTTTTTTTTTTTTTAATAGACTGAATGCTAATATTACAACTTATAGTTGTAATACCAATTCAATGGTATTAGTGAATTATTTATTGTTTTTTACCGTGGCCACATTCAAGTGAAATTTCTACAGCCAGGTGAAAGTTTCAATCTTGTTTCTAGAACAAAAAATTTCCCTTTTCTATCAACAAAAAACAGCTGAAGAATTTTTATTCCCAGCAAGGCTGCACAGCATAACTGACACAATACTTTTTCTGAGCATCCCCCTTTCCCTCCTCCTCTTCCATCATTTGTTTTGCTACTTTTTTACCATTTTATGATAATCCTGAAAATGTCATTTAAACATCAATGAAAAATGTCAGAAGGTAAAGACATTATGTAAAAGGACTTGAATTTTGTACAGACATTGCCATGTTTGGGACTGTTATATCAATAGTTATCAAATTATTGTCTGACCTTTCCATCGTTCTAACCCGCAAGGCATTGAGCAATGGATTTAGAACTCTTTAGACAGAATTCATCTTCAGGTCATAATTAATAGCCCAGTATTTAATCACTACATTTCTGTGATTACAAATGAGGGAACTGTGAACTATTACTGCTGGCTTGGACTGAGGCACAATTACTGTTAGCTTACCCAGCAAAAGTGCTTGAGAGTTGCTGTATGCATTTCCACATTTATAATTATGCAAAAAACCCTTGTCGTCTTACTTGACCTTTAAAGCGCCCAATGTGCTGATTGTAGAAAAAGTATTTTAAAAGCCTGATGGAAATTTCATAGAGCGCATATATGACCCAGTGATTGTATCATCAGCAAATGCTAAACAATAATGGTTTGAAGTCATTATTCTAATTTGGCCAGACCCTGCTAGATTCAATCAAACACAATCAGAGGTGCATGGCTGACATTCTAACAAGTTTTGGGCAAAGGTAACTCATGCTTTGAATTGTATTAACTTGTTTTCTGACACCAAATACTGGGAATTCATTTCAAAATATTCTTTTAATATATGCACACCAAAATACTTTTACATATCAATCATATAAGCTATTAAGGATAAGCTAAAAAATATGTCTAAAGCTAATGTGGAAAGAACTGCATCAATATGGTATTTGTGTGATAGAAGTATGTACATGGTCATGCAACTAGTTACAGCATTAACATCTCAAAATATGTAGAAGAAATAATAATTAAGAGAAAAACAGAAAAGAAGTTGTTTGAGCAGCTGTACTTTACTTAGCACATCTGTCAAATTGTTAAAAAGAAAAGTCTGGCAGTTCCTCCCTGATCCTCTTCCACTCCATCTTAAGAATTATGCTACATTAAAACAAGTCTGATTTAAAATATTTCTGAAATATTACTAACTTATTTTTTTATTATTATTCACGATTACACTATCATTTTATCAGGAAGAGAAGAGATTTTAGACATTTACAAAATCATAATTTTTTTCATTTGAAGTCTCACTCCCACTCTTTTCTGATATTATATATCCAAAATGTCATACTAGGTTCAAACAGTAGTAAAAATTTCTTGACCATTGCAAGTAGAGCTACAGAGAATGATTGTGCCAGTTTTACACATTATCAGCAACCTTCCATTGTAAGTCATTAATGAAAGAAGTATGCTACAGAACCTTGTGTGCATGCTTAGACATACAGCCATTGTATAATATCCAAAAAACATTCTAGGAAAAGACATTTCTTTCCTTGATTCTAGGTACATTTAACTCCTTTTTTGCATTCATATGAGGTATTAATTTTCAAGCTAAAAAAATTGAGAACAAAAAAAACCCCTATGAATCAATCCATTAAGATGCTAGTTTTCAGCCCACAGAATCCCCATTTTATTTCTCTTCTTCATTCTTAATTTTAGCGGCAAACCAAAATTTTTTATTCTCCACCTGAAGTTATTTGCCATAGGATGAACAGGTCATTTTGCATACACAAATATTTATAGGCCTTTCTGTAAATATGTATCACCATGTTTGCATATTGTTCTGTAAATATCTCAAAACAGAATTACATGGAAAACATAAAGAGCTGTTTGCAAATGTTACAAATGTTGCAAATGTTAGCTCTTAATTATGTCTGTCAAAAACACATAAGAGAACTGTATGAAATAATATGCTAGAATCCATATATTACTGTAAAACAGAATATAGTTAAGAAAACTTGAAATTTTTTTTGTAAGAATTTTCAGAAGGCTTGCATTGTCAGAGATGAACTGGATTCGTACAATACCTACTGCATCCTACCCAGCTTGCTTATTCAGAGCTGTGGGTTGTTTGTTTGTTTGTTTTGTTTGGGGGTTTGGGGGTTTTGGGGGTTTTTTTGTATGCACTATTTTCACATAGATTTTTTGTGACACCCATATTACAAAGACACTTGGATAGTTTTAAATATAAAGCTAATTGAACTCTGATTTGTTTCATGTACAGAGAGATGGATAGGCTGGAAGAAATTCCCCCATGAGAGACTGGTTTAGTTCTGATATTTCCTTATTGTGCTTTCCTACATGAAGATAAAGTGATTGCTGCCTGTTGGCTATTGGAATGCAAATGACCTTTACATCATTTTAAAAAATTGAAAGAAACCTAATTGTTTGCTTGGTACCTTCTGTTTGTTGTTGACAATTTATGCACGTTGTTAACAGCAACACTTTTAAGAGGGTATGTGAATGGGGGAGGGAAATGGGAATGTATGTATTAATTTCAGAGCCTAATATTACTGACTTCAGCTTTAGGAATGATGCTTTTGAAGATAAGTATTGCAGATTATTATAGTATCTCTGCACTTTCTAAAGTACAGCTTGTTTTAAATTGTTTTGTGGATTGTATTTCGTGTGTAAGATGAGAAAAAAGGATATTTAAAATAATTTCAGTTCATTTGATGTATTTTTTGCAAATTACAAAGTTTTCTTGTCATCATTAAAAACTGCCTAACTCTTTTTATTCAGACATTTGTGTGCGTTGGCTTTTATTAGCAATTAAACTGCCCAGATTTACAATATGGCTTCATTTTAATGGAATTTCAAACCCCAAAGACATGTCAACTTACAGCTTGTTAAACAGCTTCTTTTATGTTTATAGTTCTATAATACAAAACAGATATTTACTTGATTTCCTTTCCTTGTTGGTTTAGTAACAGTCTAATTAATTTGTCAGTTAGACAGCAATGTAAACAATATATGGTGATAAAATGTGCCTATTTCTGAATTTATGCAGGCAAGGCATGGTACCATGTGAAGCAGAAATGTCAGTCCTGAAGTTACCTTCAAATACAAGTATAATTAGAAATTTCTGGTCCAGTTCTTATTGGCTTGAAACAGGATCCATATTTGTTGGTGGTTTGCCTCATCCTTATGCAGCAAAACAGGTATTTTTAAAATTTTTTTTAATTGTATTATTTTTAGGAGTGGCATATTTAATAAGATAGAACTGAAGATATTTTAATCATACAAAAAAAATTACAGCTTTTTGAGGGCTAGATCTAAGGAATGAGTGCGGTCTCTTGCAGAGTATTGCTCATGTGTGGGACTTTGGTAAGTGAACAAAAAGGGCATTATGGTCTAAAGTCTGAAATCCTGTTTGTCTTGAGTAGGCAGAGTAAAGGAGCAAATATTATCATATTTAGAGGAGGTGCCTGTTACATCAGGTGCTAGTTCTATAAAGATGTGAAAAGTACAACTGCAATGGTTTCCAAAACAAAGGAGACTGTATGAGTGAGGAAATTCTGCAAAGAGAGATAGCACAAGAGCTTGAATCTGTAGGGGTCTGTAGGCAGCCATGTACACGGGGATGAGAAGTAATATGCAGTGGGGCTTGCACAGAGACAGGGAAGAAGAATACCCACAGGGTCATGCAGAGAGTTGGAGACATGCAGATCATTATTCAGTGGCTCTTATGGAGGCTTTGGGGATAGAGTAGTCACATATACAGGTCACTTAGGTGATTTCCAATCTTTTTTTCCAAAGCAGCATGATTATAGTTAGCAATTCTATTCCAGTTTATGACACTCAAACTCTTCATGCTTACACAGATCAAAGGCCCAGGCCCTGTAATTCATTTGAGACTGGCACCATCCATGTAGGGCACACTCAGTCCAACTTCCAGCAGCATGGCCCCTGTACAGCAGAACTCTCAATGCAACTGGTTCAGCCTTCTACATCTTGTCAGATGTGTAGTTATGGAGTGCAGCTCAGTATCTAAGGGGCTATTGCCATAGCTATGTACAATTTTTGTGCCTGTGACCTCACTAGTCATATAGTTCCAAGTTGGTCTCTGACTTTCACTTATCCAAAGCCAATCTGTGTTGCTACCTATTTAACTCTCTTGTCTTCCCAAATATTCTTTCAGAATGCAAAACTGTTCACCATTACATAATAGAGACTGTCTGTGAGTGTTTGTGTTTTCCATGTTGTGAAACACATTAAACTGTTAGAACTGAATTGGTGTAGTGCAGGTCTCATTTATCTGAACAGGGATCTTTGGATTGATGTCACCCCACAACTGTAGCAAAGTTAGACTGCAGGGGTTTTGTTTCTCCAGTGTACTGTAAAAACTGGGCATATGTAGTTCAGTTTCCATTTTTTAAGCCATACTTTCGGGTAGGCTTCACCCTGTGCAATTGATTTAACCTTTTTATTTCTGTTCCATTCTTCAGTAAGTGAAGGTCATCTTATCATGAGGCAAATAGAGTCATTTCAAGCACTGGCATGTTTTTGATACTGCTACTGGTAATGCAGTATTTCTAGATTGCTTTCACCTTATAATAAATTTCACAGTAATCAATGATGTGACAAGATTGTTGAAATGCAACTTAAAAGTTCTTGTGAGCAAGTGCTTTTTTGGTTGAAAAATATTTCACAAAAAGTGTACTTCTAAGTAGCTCATACTGACATAAAAAGAACACATGAAGTAGTATTCATAGTTATACAACTTTTCCTTTAGTTCAAATGTTCATACACAAACTATACCTTCATCTGGAAGATTTTATCCTCAGTTGTATATAGAATTTTATTTACTTCAAAAATGTATCCATTCTAATGAGATTTAGGAGAATTTTATTCTCAATGTTTAAAAGACTTGTCTTCTAGAAACTAAGAGAAATTTTTGGAGGATATCTCAAAGAATTTATAGTGAAGGCTTAGAGAAGTTCAGTTCACATGGTGTGTTTTGGAGTAGGTAAAAAAGCAATTTGTTTGAGGGATATAATAATCCCTCAATGAAAAATAGCTCTTTACTAGCTAAAGGCCAAATGAAATCCAGAAAAATAAATTTAAATTAGAGAAGTTCAAATAGCAAAGAAACACAATGGTTTAAAGGTAATTTATCGCTAAAAATTTTTGCCTGCATGTGTTGGATTGTCATATCAACACGGGCTTTCCTTCTTTGAGAATGTTGCAGTTCAATTCTATTCTTAATGTAGAATTAATAGGTGAGATGTTGTTCATGATTGCATTCTAAATTAGGTAATAGATGCAGGACATATACAAGTGCTCAAGGTGGTGATACTTAACCTCTATTAGTATGTGGAAAGCATATGTTCCTATAACTTCCCCAAAAAGGCAAAAATATATCTTCTACTCTCAGTTGCCTGCAGTTTTTCACTGAGCTTTCTTATAGCTTTCTTTCTGTTTGATGTGACCTTAGCCTTTATTTCACTTAATGGACTTTCCTTATTTGTGACTTTTGTATTCATTTTGATCTTAGTATCTCATTTTGCTTATTTTTTATGTTTTTCTAGCTTCAGCAAAGTTCAATTTTCCTTGGCTTCCCTGTCAAAGTCTGTAGGCTCCAAGACAAATACAGTCTATAAATGCTGGGTTTTTTCCCTTTTTGTCAGGGAATGGAGAACTGCCTGTCCAAGTACTCTTTATGTGGGCTTTTCAACCCCAGCCGTAGGAAACCACTCCAGAAAGTTTCTTTTCCATCAGTTTAGACCCAGCAGTCAGGCTTCTATTATAAAACCTTCATCATCCCTGAAACAGAACAGGTCTGTTTCTGACCTTCATCCTACAGTTTGCTTCAAGGGAGATTTCTGCTCCAGCTGAGACTCAGATTTTTCTGACAAGTGCTCTGATCACTCTTGGAGTCAAGTTTGATAATGACCCTTGTGATACCTGCAGTATTCACCTAATAATACATTGTCTTGTTCTAGCTCCTTCTCTCATAGGAGTAGTTCACTCTGCTGTTGGCTCTCCTACCATCCAATATTGTGGAAGTTGCAGAGAACAGTGACTTCAGACCTTGGACTCCTTCAGTTTCTGACTAACACGAACTTCTAGCTGTCAGTACGAGAAACTGTTGACATGGGAGTCACGTATTGCTGGAATTGGCTCATGTAAAATGATTCATTTCTAGGATAGATTCCTCCTCCATTCATTTTGATTGAAGTTTGAGATGACCTATAAAGCCCTCGGGGTAAAACATTGTCTCCTCTAAAGACTTTCTATACATCTTCCCAATCAGCTCTGAAATGTCCATACATTCTTTCCACATATTTTTTTTTTGTGTGTGTGTGTGTATGCTTATTATTTTGTATTCCTTAGAGTCCAAGTGCACTTGACATGTGAGGCAAGGTGTAACAATTGTACTGATTTGTCTCATCTCTGCCACAGTCTCTTCAGGAGATCAGAGCCTTACCCTCAAGCAGTGATGCATTTAACAGAATATCTGTGATATCTGGGGAAGCAGTGCCATAATACCCAATTGATTTCTTCACTATTCAGAAGGTCTCAGGCCTCCCAGATCTCAGTCCTAGTGTCTGTGACTGGTAGTGAGAAACACTAGAGCAAAAAGGTTATGGCCTACTTAAGTAAACCAGACACATAAAGTACCATGGATCCGGAAAGACTCTCATAAACACACACCTCTGGCTGGTGTTATCACGAAGCCACTCTCCATTGCCTCTGAAAGCCTACAGCAATCAGAGGAAGGCTCTGATGACAGGGAAAAAGACAAATGTGATGCTATGTTCATCCTAAAAAAGACAAGAAGGAAGATGGGTAACCATGAGCTAGTCAGGTTAATGGCACAACTGTTCCTGGTGCTAATATAGAAACAAATGAATATAAGCACCTCCTTGGAAACAACCCAAAGGGAAACTCTGCCTGACCAGTATGCTTACATTCCCTGTTGAGAAGACTGGCTCTGTGGGCAAAGGGAGGGCAGTGGATAATCCTTATTTCATGTCCCAGACAGCTCCACTCCCAGCTCCATCGCCTACCTCTGAGCGGCACGGAGGATGGGAAATGGGGGTTAAATTCAGACCATAACAGTTTGGCTCTGCCACTTCTTCCTCCTACACATCTACAGTTCTCTTAGCTATCCACAGGCCAAAGATGGAAAAAGCATTTGCCTTGATCTGAATTCTGAAGGGTTTGAAGGTGTGGGTAGAAATCAAGGTAACAGATACGTGCACTGAATCAACTTGAATGAATTCATCCAAGTTCAAGCACTGCAATCTGTTTCACGCACAGAAAGAAATTGTTTTTATGACTCTGTAAACTGTCCTTTGCAAAGTTTAGTGGAGTCATCTGACAGTCTAGGAAGCCACTGCTGAACAGTCAGAATGAAAGCTAAACTATAAATAGCTGGCTGGAAGACATCTTGTCCGGCTGTCCTGACACAGTGAAAAAAGTTCCCTTCAGTTCTGTGCCAGCTTAGTTTATTACTTATTTTTATATTCTATCCTATTTCTTTGGTAAAGAATATGATGGGAGTAGTTCAGAATTTCCACAGGCAAATTGCGAAATCAGTTGAACAGTTAAATAGAATCATCTTTTTAAAAATTGAGGTTTTAAAGCTGTTTATGATCACCAGTTATTAAGACATAAAAATCAACAAAAAAGGAAGAGAAACCAAATTACACACAGGGAAAAAAAAAACTTTTTGATCAGAAATTGTAAAAAGGTAATATTTCTGAAGTCTAAAGATTCAGAGAAATTTCAGAAGTTGCAGAAGTTTCAGAATAATTAATTTCATGCTAGCTTTAGTATTGTTGTTTACAATAGCTTTTTATCAGCAGAGAAGATTGGTATACTCAAAGGGAAATTAAAGATTGTTTTCAAATACCTACAGCAGCAGTAGTTGATTGCAGTAATGCTGTTCTTTCTGCTGATGTAATTGTTCTAGTAATTATTATTTCTAGACTTAATAGTATTTTAGTATTGAGAATGTGAAATGTCATTACATCTTTATATTCCTTTTCAACTCAAGCAGTTCTCTATAATTAAACCTTGCAAACCAGGGAAGTTTCAGGAGGAAAATAAGCTTCTAAGTAGGAGAGCAATCTTCTAAATAAAGATAAAAATTAAAGGGAAGGCAAATACATATGTGGGCATCAATATGTTACCAATTGGGAAATAGCAACAG